CAAATTTCGAAGCCATCCTGTAAAAAAATGTGCGCGCCTTCTGGGTCTCTCATCATTGAACTTGATAAAAGTTACTGATGTCGATTTGTGACAATTTTCTATTGATATAAATTCATACACTTAATTCCTTTAAATTGTTCTTTCAAGTTCATCTAATAACGTAAAACTATTGTATTATATTAATTAACGATTACATTTAATAAAATTGTTTTTCTTCTCGAAACACTACGATTTGTAGGAATTAGGTAGCGCCAAGATGCGTTCTGAGGTGTACGTTACAACGAATTCTTTAGCGTCGCAAATCGCAGGTGGCACATTGGCAACAAGTTAACTGTGTAGACACCGTAAGATATATCTGTCACGCGATCCTTCGGGGATTCACAATGCACGCGAGCGTGTGTAGGTAAGCGTAATCACGCGGCTACTGGTGTTGCGGCATCCTTTAAACCTCGCCCTAGCGTTTTCCAAGCCCCCTGTGACTCGACAGATTCTATTTTTTTTTCCGGCGGTTCTCTCGAGGTAGCTGAGCGGATATCACCTTTCGTTGTACCGTTACCCGAATAATGCGTCACCTTGACGACTGTGGTACGTGGCAATTTATCCGCGAAACTATCTACACGGATTGCGAGTGCGAAGACAACGGTTTCAAATACTTGCCGTAATTAATCATCTCTCCAATGTCGTTAGATTATTATATTGTGCAACCCAAAAGAACACGCGTTCTGAGATATGAAAAGTAAATTACCTACTTCCTTTTCCTCCTAAACGTGATCCTAAATTATTCTTTGATTATACAATACGAGTAATAATTACAAAATTTTTTTGCGCACGGGTATCGTCTAGGTATTCTGCATGCATATTAAATATCGAACAGAAATAATTTGCGTTAAAACAAAGCGCTCGTTTTGAGATACCACGGCACTTAACGACGTTATCGTGATTGTCGGAGCCAAAGTGTTGAATGCAGAACGGCCGTCAAATCGTCGTTAGCTCGAAACTCAAACAATATCGTAACAATAATAACAATTGTCGATGTAAGATTGACCAATAAACTGTCGTACGTGTCGAGCCATCGTACGTATGTCCACGAATTTAATTTAGTACTAATATTTTACTGCTAGCGCGCGAAGAGTCGTTGAGATGCGTTAAAGCGTACCTGCAAACAAAGAGAGCGCCTCTTGTAACTACTTCCATCGTTGAAATTACAGACTTGCAATATTTTTACTGTTATATCTGTTAATTACGGCTACGTGCAGTACGTCTCAAATTTATATTTGCGCCGTCTTTCAATTATATCGTATTGCTGTAAAAAATGAAAAATTTCTCTGTCTCGTAAAGTTACTTCCGTTGATAAGCTGTTGTCGATCTTATTGGGCGGTGAAGATCCAGAAATAAATTCAAAACTATGCCCGAGAGGGAATGGAAAAAAAGAGGGCGGCCTTCTCCGGTTTCATATGCGGCCTTCTGGTGGCTGGTACCGAAATTTGTCGCGGCGTTCACGGTTATCCTTCCACCCCGCAGCTGTTTAACCAGCTGTAACATATCACACCTTCTCCCTCGATGGCCGCTTTTCTGGATGCGGGCGGGGGAGGAATCCGTCGGGCCGGAATTTTTTCACAAAAGGCACGTGTGCATCAATAATCTACTGTGCATAGCGCGTGACCGCCGCTTCCGTTCGATCGAATTTGCGTTTGTTTCTTTAACATTTTTTTGTAAATCCGGAATCTTCTCGCGTCGCGTCTTCTCCTGCGTCGTCTCTTCCTTTATCTGTGTCTCTTACCTTTCTTTTGTCCTTTGGAATTTTCAACTTCTATCAAACTTTACTACGATAATTCCATTTAGTTTTTCCTTCTCTTCTTTTGAGTGGATTTAAAAAAAACACGTTCCTCCGTTTTATTGTAACTCATAATAAATTGTTAATAGATCTTTACTATATTTTTCTTTTCTTTTTCTTGTTTTATTTCTCCTTCTAAGAAATCGTGACTGACTTTTGAGAATTCGGACCCCCACTGGAGTGGCGTTAGGCCCATTGTCCGGTCTGAGAAGTTATGCGTCTGGCAACTTCCATAAGCATCAGTGCGGTGCATTAATTCGGTTAGGGTTGAATCGTCAAAAAGCATCTACGTGTGTTTAAATAATCAAGTAATTTTTGCCCATCACTAATTGTTACCCGAACTGAATTAATATACCATACTGTACACTATTCTAATAGAGCACTGTATGATGATAACATTATTCTAGTCTGAATTTTTTATGAATCATTTTAAAGGAATGTCAAAGAAAAGACGTGCATTTTTGTAGTTAAAGAACTTTTCAGAACTTTCGTGCCAGTAAATTTCTGTATCTTGACCTTGAATATCTGAATAGAATAAGATTAAAAGGCACGTGCCTTTCCTTAAAAGCACTAAGCTCTTAAAGAAATAGACAGAGAAAGGAAAACGAAGACACGGGATCGAGGGATAGAATCGGACTAAGATTAACGTTTTTCCAGAATGGTAAAGCTAACAATGGCAGAAAGGGAAGTGCCACTGTTCGAACGTATTCATCCTTTATTCCGGTGATTTATGAGTAATCTGGGCGATGAAGAAAAAATGTGGGTCAAGCTCCAGCCACGCGACTGGTATGACAGAGGGAGAAAGAGAGAAAAGTACCTACGTCACTTAGCCATTGAAGCAAAATGATCCTTCGGAATGTTCCAACATGATTTATTTACGGACCATTCTCTCTCTCTCTCTCTCTCTGGTGTTGTCTTCAAAACCTCTCACGATGCAGTCTATTTATTTTCATCTATTTTCGACAAATGTTGGCTCACTCGAAGCTCGCATAAAAAGATTCGAAGTAATAAGGGAGATAAGAAAATGGAGCTGAGAGAAAGAGAGAGAGAGAGAGAGAGAGAGAGAGAGAGAGAGAGAGAGAGAGAGAGAGAGAGAGAGAGAGAGAGAGAGAGAGAGAGAGAGAGAGAGAGAGAGAGAGAGAGAGAGAGAGAGAGAGAGAGAGAGAGAGAGAGAGAGAGAGAGAGA